TTCAGGATGCCGCCAGACCTCACTATGTATGCAAACTCAAGAAGGCACTCTATGGGCTCAAGCAAGCCCCACGCTCGTGGTACCACAGATTTGCAGGCTTCATCCAGTCCATTGGCTTCCGGGGTTGCAAGGCTGACACATCACTCTTCATCTTCTCCCACACCACGGGAACAGCCTACCTCCTCCTCTACGTGGACGACATCGTCCTCACTGCCTCCTCATCATCACTCCTTCAGAGCCTCATCCATCAGCTTAAGACAAAATTTGCCATGACAGACATGGGGGATCTACACTTCTTCCTTGGTATTAATGTTCAGCGCACCTCTGCAGGACTCTTCCTTCACCAGACCCAGTTCATACATGACATACTCGAGCGTGCCGGGATGCTCTCGTGTCGCCCTATCAATACCCCGATCGACACGAAGGCAAAGTTATCCTCCTCCACAGGCACAGTACTCCAGATCCTTCCTTATACCGGTCCATTGTGGGAGCACTACAGTGTCTCACCTTCACGCGACATGACATCACTTATGCAATCCAGCAGCTCTGCCTCCACCTACATGCACCCCGCGATGCTCATCTCAATGCCATGAAGCGCGTTCTACGATATCTAAGTGGCACTACCACTCATGGCATTCATCTATCACCATCGGCCACAGACTCTCTCCAGGCCTACTCTGACGCAGACTAGGCCGGCTGCCCGGACACCAGGCGCTCTACCTTAGGCTACTGCGTATTTTTGGGGGATAACCTGATCTCCTGGTCATCCAAACGACAGGCAACCACCTCGAGATCAAGCGCTGAGGCTGAGTACAGGGCTGTAGCCAACGCCGTAGCCAAAACCACTTGGGTGCGTAATCTTCTCCTTGAGCTGCAGCAACCTCTCCGGCGTACCACTCTTGTCTTCTGCGACAATGTCAGCGCAGTCTACCTCTCCACCAATCCCGTCCAGCATCAGCGTACAAAACATGTGGAGGTCGATATACATTTCGTACGTGACAAGGTGGCGCTCGGTCACGTTCGGGTCTTGCACGTTCCATCTTCCTCCCAGTATGCCGACATCTTCACCAAAGAACTGCCCTCACTTCTGTTCCTTGACTTCCGAGATACTTGGGTATCAAACCGCTTCCACATCCGACGTAGCCGGGAGCATGTTAAATATATTATTTATATTTAATTATTCTTGTATTATAGTGTTGCCATAATTGTATTACCTTCCTACTATGTCTCTCCTACCATAATTAGGATTGAGATCTCTTGTATAAATACACATGTAATTAACACAAATCATTAATGAAAATATTCTTTCTATAGTCCTCTTCCTTATTTTTCTTTCTTTTCTTTTGATTATTAATCAATTTCCCAATAAACTCCACCTTGATTAAATACTCAAAAAAAAACTTTGTAGCTCTACCTCACTTCTCCGGTGAGATCACCGCTACTCCGAAAATTTTTTTATCCTTGGCGCCATCTCAGTCTGCTCCATCGAGATCACCGCTGCCAACCTCAAAGAAGAAAAAAAATCCTCGTGTCTCCACCTTGGTCCATCCACCAAGATTACTACCACCTTGAAAAAATCATGACCTATCTTGCTCAATACCGCAAGCTCTCTGCCACCATGTGTTGACTCATGGTCGTGGCCTCACCTTGCTCAATACGACAAGGTCCTCACCATTTCTAGTTACCGATGTACCCATGGCTCCATCTCAACCAACCCGTCAAGATCACCGCCACAACCTTAGCTCCTTAGAGTTTTAACCCTCCACCCCAAGCTAAAAAAATGGCAACTCACCTTTGTTAACACTCTCTGAGACCACCCATCTAGCAATTATCTTCTTTCGATCCGCCCATCTTGCACCGCTGCAGCAACACCTGCGGGACACGCCGCCCGACCTCTTCTTGCCGAGAAGACTTTCGACACAAGACATAAGCTGTAGTTTTTCACTCTGCTAGACCACTGGTCTCCTCAAGTCCTGCTCCTGCACCATACTTCACAAAGCCAGCATGCCACTTCGTACCCGGTTCCCATGCCCTCCACTTTGTTCCTGAAGTCCCAAGGTCGCCTTCTGGCCAAAACCGACCAGTCCCTGGGTTCTCAAAATTTCTCCTTTTACCGCTTACAAATCCCTCCTGCCCAGCGCAACCAAGCTCCGATACCAATTGTTGGTATTTTAAGCGCGTAAGATACCGAAAAAATATTGAGAACACCAGAAAAATGAGAGAACAAACACAAGAAGAAAATATGAGAGAGAAAAATTATATTTCCACTATTTCAGGACAATATACAATAAACTCTTCCCTGTTTACAAGACTAAATTTCATACATTCATAAATAGATCTTTCCACATCCTATGCCCGGATGTATTTTTCCGAGTAACTAAAACCAGTTACTCCCTACACTCACCAAGACCCCTTGGATTTTCCCGGTGGTATTCTTGTGTAAAATTCCTCTTTTTCTCTCTCTACCTTGGTGGTGTGTAAAACCCACACACACATTCTATTCTAAAAAAAACCCCAGGTTATATACATACAGAGTGATTCCATCCAAGAGGAAGATGGTAAATGGGCCCTTAACATCACATGTATACAACCTCTCACATGCATGCATGATGGATGCATCCATGCACCATCCATATCTTCTTTTTTATCTTCTTTGTCCTCTTCCTTATTTTTCTTTCTTTTCTTTTGATTATTAATCAATTTCCCAACATATTTAACCTACTTTTTAATTTTATTTTTCCTAACAATAATTGACCCTATTTTTACTGCCATATGTTTTTTCCAAAGCAACTCAATTTTCTATCTAGTTCTAAGCATTATCTTTTTTATTATTTTCATAATAGTACACTTTTGAAAAAAAGTTTTTGAAAAGTTTGCCTTTAATAATTCTTTCGATTATTATATTCAAACTACTTTTTGTAATTAACAGACTATATATTAAACATTATCTTTTACTCCGTAAATATTTTTCGATTACTCGAACATTTTTTGTAGTAGACCATATATTGAGCATTATCTATCCGTTTTTTTTGAAATACGGTCGTTTAAAAATTCCGATTATCTTTTAAAATAGTCCTTACAAATGTTAAACTTTTTTCTCTTTTGTTGTGTACTTTTTCTCTCTCAAAAGTTTTACATGCACTTATTCAAAAAAATTATAACATTTTGTACTTTTCATTTTTTAAGTTCTTTAAAATATTAAAATGAATTTTATTAACAATGACCAGGGGCGGAGCCAAGTGGGAGCAAATGACTACAATTGTAGTCACTCCCAACTTTTCTGTTTAATACTCCATACCCATACTATATACTAATCCAATATTACCTTTTGTTTTGTGTCTCACCATTAAACTTCAAAGGTAGAAAAATTGCAAGCATAGCAACACTATGTTTCTTGTTTTGGCTATGAAAAAAAGAGCAATGTGATTTCAAAATGTTAATGGTAATTATTGATTGAAGAAAATTATAATGGATTTTTATCGATATGGAAGTTTTATCTATATATTTTATTTTACATTATGTGTTCGAAAAAATGTTTCTGAGACCAATTCGTATTTGAATGTCTCCGGTCACTGATAACCGCCAGACACAGATATCTTCTTTTACTTTGCACCCACTAGTGTTGGATCCTGGCTCTGCCACTGGCAATGACCGTACCCCTGGGTTTTGTTTTTCCATTATATTGTCTCAGATGATGTCTCTCATGATGCAGTTTTATCAACAATTCATTGTCCTTTCGCAGTTGTTGATCAGACCAGATCAAGATAGTAGTTAAAATAATTGTGATATATATTAGTATTTGTAAACAATGATACAAATTGATGATGAATTTGAATTTTAAATACCCCGATAGTACAAGTTTGTAATATTTAAGTGACATGCAATATTACGAGTAATTTATTGCATGTGGTGTACGCTTTTTTATTTATCATGCCATTGAATCTTTGAATATTTATATTATTTGTTTATCGAAGTATTTTCATTTATAAATTAGTTTTTTTTTAAATGCAATTTTTTTAATTTACATGAAATGTTGGCACAGACTGCTTCCTTGCCAATTTTGAATTTTGAAATTCAAATTTATATTTTGCGTGAATTTTGTAGGAGTCGAGATTTAATAATTTTAAAATAACGAAACCATATCTCGCAAGAATATTGGTCGTGCTTATTTGGCAGGGACTACTGACTCTGCGTCTACAAGCTGTAACATTGTAATTTAGAATCGTGATCTTGGAACGGATTAGCCGTACTAAAATCTTGGCACGGACTTACTCATCGTGTCAAAGAGTTTGGAGCTTCGAAATTGACATCCCCTCGATCCGTGCCAAATAATGTAAGCACGGAAAAGTCATGAGGGGTGGTTGAGTTAATAGAATCCGCTTTGTTTTCAATTACGGCTCCAGGGGAGTCATATAGTACCCCCCCCCCCCCCCCCCGACAAGTCAGTATCAATGCTTTGTTGATGGTGCCATTTTTGCCTAGCTAGGTGGATAAAGCTGCGTGCGGAGTGGTGCTCTTGGACGCAGAGGGGGAGATATGTGGCATCCTTTGCGAAGCTTCTTGACCGTTCTTTGGAGCCGATTCTTGTGGAAGCTATGGGATGTCGTGAGGCTCTTTCGTGGTTAAAATCTAGAGGTATTGTGTCGGCGAAACTCTTTCTCCGGACAACCAACAGGTGGTGCTTGTACTACGACATTCTGATAACAATGTTATGTTTTCCTATTTTAGCTCCACTATTTCTCACTGTAACACTCTTCAAAACAATTTTGATGTTTTTTCTTGTTCTTTTATTCATCGTACTTCGGAACACCCTTGCTAGAGGGGTTGTGTTGCTTGTTGGTGTGTGGGAGGGTCTTCCTTCGGACTCTATTTTCACTCTTGTTCAAGTCTAAAGAGTCCTCTTTTGCTTTTAGATAATAAATTTATTGCGTTCTCAAGAATTAAGCAATTCTTTAAACATACTGAATTAAAAGAAAAGTGAAAGAATTTGAATTTCTTACTGGAAAAGAATTAGATTCCTCCATGGAGCAACTCCTTGCACAAATTGACCCTAATTTTTTGCTGCCAAACCGCAGCAATGTGGAGATGCAATTAGGCACCAAATTTTGAGGGAATTCAATCCTGGCATGAAATCGTGTTCCTGGCAGAGGAAAAGCAAACGCACGATAACTATGGGCTGGCAAATACTCATGGACATTAGCATAAAGTTATACGAGTAAATAACATAGAGTAAAACGCACACGAAAACTTATGAAACAGTGAACAATCTGAGAAAAAAATATTGTCATGTCGTATAATACAATGACCTATAAATTATTTTAGGCAATGACTACTAATGACACATCCGTTTTCAAGAACAAGCATTCTTCATCCACTCCAAGCCATAACCTCTTGCCAAGATCTACCATCATCTTAAAGTAAAAAATAACGTGTCATATTTGGAGTTTGCACATGCCGTGCTAAAGTAATTCTAGACACAAAAAACAAAAACAGCAATTGTGACAAACTGTGAATCTTGAGAATGGCTACCATCAAGCCACAGCCTGGAACTTCTTCAACGTATCACAATTCGGTGTTGCTTGTCTGTAGCCCCAGTGGACTTGCTGGACTTCAAGGCGGCAGTTATAAGCAAGGTTGTTGAAATAATCACGCTCGATCCCTTCTTCAAGTTTCACACGTTTTGGGGTGCTAGGAGGATATTCCTGCTCAAACTTCCCTGGCTTCACGTAATAGTTCACGCCCCGTCGTGTTGTGAAGAGTTGGTCATATGGATATGATCTTGAGAAAGAATAAATGGGATCCGAAGAGGGCAAAAAGTTCAACAGCAGAATCAATAACACGGGCAGAAATTGAATCAAAGTCCGGGCAAGCCCGTTGGATCCATTATGTCCACCAACACGCACTCCCACCCCGGGACCAAAGCTGAAATGGGTAGTTGCTGCTACAGGATTCATTCCTCCGAAAAAGAAATTCCTGAAAATTTCTTCGGCATCAACATCATCATAGTAGAACCCATGCCTTCCACCAGTGTGATGGTGCCTAGTTGTGCGCCTCTCATAAGCAGGTGTATCATTTTCACCTACAAGATCATACCTTTTCCGGCTTTCATCATCACTCAAACACTGAAAAGCCTTGGAAACCATCTTGAATGCCTCTTCAGATCCGGGGGCATTGTTCTTATCGGGGTGAACCTTCAAAGACAGCTTTCTATATGCTTTGCGGACATCCTCCACACTGCAACTCCTCTCTAATCCCAAAATCTCATAGTAATCTTTCTTCCTCTTAATCTCTTTCACAATTGTGACTTGTTCCTCTGTGTAGATAGCCCCGTTCTCGGATGAAGAGGACGGCCCTGCCTCCCTCTTTACTGAACTCCTTCGGCGAGTCCCACTTTCTGATGGGTTTGGAGAAACGGGAGAGTCCTTGTTGGTGGGTGTGTCAGGGGATTTATTCTCAGCTTGGGAACAATCAAGCTTAGACAACAGATCATCAATTTCGAGGTTTGGGTCTAAACGCTTAGCTTTGTTCATGAATTTCAGAGCCCTTTCTCTGTTACCAGATTGGATTGAATCTTTAGCTATCTCAAAGCACTTGAAAGCTTCATCTTTATTCCCGTCCATCTTCGAAACAAAACAGATCCAATTTCAAGAACAGTGTCTTAAAAAACTCCTAAATCTACCTGTAAGCAGATGGATCTTGAAACTAGAACAGCCTATACGTATATCCCGAATAAAGCAAAAAGAAACAAAAGGGTATTGAGCTTACAGATTCAATCGAAGGCCCTTATCTTGGATCGAACAAACGGAGGGTTTTCCGATGAGTCGCGAGAAAGCTTCTCCCGATTGAAAAAAAAAACCGGATTTGGGGTGAATGCCTTTTGATTATGAGCTGGGGTCCTACGGAAAGCAGGAGACTCCGAAGTCCGAACAGCCACAAAGCATGTCATATTTACAGAATCAGATTAGAATCAAGGACCATGCTACACTTACACCACAAAATATACCCCATTTGTACACCACAGGTTTGCACAAACATTTCGATGGTTTACACCGACACAAGTGTTGGTGTGTTAATAAAAATTCACACGGACACAAATGTTGGTGCATTTAACAAAAATTAGTTTTACACAAACACAAAGTGTTGGTACAAAACTGCGGGGTACAAATTGGGGTAGAAAACTTGGGGTACACATAGCATAATCCTAGAATCAATCTTCTATTCAATTTATTCCGTTTTACTTATTATTTATTCTTATTAGAATCAGATTAGATATGATTAGATTAGAGACAACTTAAATATATTTACATTCAGATCAAATCAGGCCAAATTAATTCGAAACTTATTTTAATCAGATTAGAACCATTCAAGTCATATGAAGAGAATATGGCCTAAGCATCATTAACATTGCGATTCATTGTATTTTTTATATCTACTCGTTTCGTTCGCAAAAATTATTTTTCTTGTCTCCCAAAATTCTCCATCCTAGCCCCTTCTTTCTTCGAAACAGTAAAGAAGGAGAGGACAGGGGTTGAATGAAGATAGAAATAATCAATTTTATGAGCGGAGCACCGTAAGTGTTTTAATTGGAGCCCATTAGTTGTAGCCACCCTAGTTTGGTCTCAGTGGGCCCAGCCCGCTAGGCTGTAGACTAACGACTGGAAAAGCCCAAATATGTATTGTATAAATACTCCTCTCCGGGAGGAGAAAAGACACGTTCACTTTGACTACTAAGCTAACATACTTTCTCCACTCTTGCAACCAAAGGCACTTAGTACTCGTTTGATACTCTTCTACCTAGTCTCCTAGGTCCCGAGTTCTAAAACCTATCGGGACTGAAATTGTCTTATGTCCCTCAATAATTTTCCACAATTGACCAGACAAAAAGATTTAAAAAATGAAATTATTTGATTAAAAGTGGTGGAAAGAAAAAATAATAACAATCTAAGTGTCGAAGGTGGAACCTTCTTTAAGAACGAACAGAAAAAACGGTGGCACATTATTCTGAGAGAAATGGAGTATAAAGCATAACAAATATATTATATTAGAACCATGGATTATTTAAAAACTCATTAGATTTTAAGAATCATACTCAGGATCCATTCCGTAGGACTTATTTTTTCTACTTATTACTTATTCTTATTAAAATCAGATCCGATCAAACCAGACCAGACCTAATCAGATCAGATCAGATTCAATCAGATCAGTTCAGACTCAATCAAATCTGATCAGATGCAATCAAATTAAACCAGATCCAATCAAATCAGATAAGATCCAATCAGATCAGACCAGATCCAATCAGATAAGACCAGACCTGATCAAATCCAATAATATCAAATCAAAAAAAAATATAAAAGATAATATTTACATTTTTCAAGGATTAAATAATAATTACTATTATTTGATTAAATCACATTACTTTATTTAAAACTACACACACCTAAATCTTAATTAATATTATAATTTTAAATATTATTGTTATTATATTACTATTATTATTGTTATTATTATTATTATTATATTTCAACTACAAACCATTATTTTTAATAATTGTTTAGCTTGTAGGATAGAAATGATGCATGGAAGCATTGTTAAAGCTTAAAAAGTTTTATTTTTCATACTTTAAAAAGAGTTATTTTAAAATACTTGTTTATAAAATAATTATACAAAACTTAGTTTTCAAAACTATAAATATTTTATACTTAAAGATACATACTTTTAACTTTTAAGATGGTATATTTTACACAAGGGTGAGTTTATGACAAAATTGATAGAGGTGAAAGGGATATTAGTGTTTAAAATTTTATATGATCTTTTATTTGTAACATGAAATATATTATTATGTAATATGTATATAAAATGTGATATTTTTGTAGAATAGCATCAATATTTTCTAATATTTGGTTATTTTAATGCTGATTATTTAGTTTTCACAAAAATTAAAAAGTTGTGATATTGAAAAGATGTTTAATATTTAAAAAAAGTTTAAACATATCAATGATTAGCTGATTTTCTTATTTTACTTTTTTTATTTATATATGAATTGTAATACTTTAAAACTATTAAATTTTGTAATAATTTTAAATTTAATTTATATCAAATTTAAATTCATTTACACCTAATCTAATTAGAGAAAAATCAGATCCAATCAGATTAGATCAGATCCAATCAGATCAGATCAGATTCAATCAAATCAAATCAGATCAGATCAGACCCAATCAGATCAGATCAGATCCAATCATATCCAATCAAATCAGGTCTAATCAAATGAGATCAGATCCAATCAGATCAGATCAGATCAAAACTTCAAAAATTCAGATCAGATTCAATCAGATCAGGCGTACGGAACAGAGCCTCAGTGGCCCATAGTTTGATTAAATTGCAAATGTTCTGAGGAAACAATTTAACATTGGCATTTAACAAATACACTAAGAATAGGGTATCTAGCATAAAGAAGAATACATCAAAAATCAAAATTAAAGGCCCGTGAAAGAATTGAAGAAGTGAAATGTCATAGGTGGGAGCTCAATGCTACTACTCTACTAGGATGAAGTTTTAAGAAATGAGTTAAGCTCGTCTGGATTTCATTATCGTCCATATGTTGACCGAGTGTGACACTTAGACAGAAAGCTGAAGGTTAGTCAATTATGCCAAATGACTTAGACAATTTCCTTAGAGTTATATATTAGGCCTCGTTCCGTTCAACTTATTTTTCCGCTTTTATATTATTCTAATTAAAATCAGATCAGATCCGATCACACCAAATCAGATCAGATCATATCGAATCAGATCAGAATAGGTCAGATCCTATCAGATCCAATCAGATCAGATAAAGTAATATTTTGTGGAAGCTTCCACCTTCCACAAAATATTGATTCTAATATAATATGAATTATCATTACAATTTTCAAAATTTATTATAAAGTCAAATCAAATTATTGATTTGAATTTTAAATCAAATCATAATTCATCGTATTGGACCAGATTAGATCAGTTCAGATTAGATCCACTCAAATCAGACCAGATCAGATCCAATCAGATCAGATCATATGAGATCAGATCTAATTAGATCAGATCAGAACTACAAAAAATCAGATCAAATCAGAAAAATAAGTTGAACGGAATGGAGCCTTAGTTGCTCAGGGCGATCTGATATGTCAGGTTGGTCTAAACCTACTTGGGATATGGTTTACACGTGGGATTGCGTGCCAAATCTAATTTTGTGGAAGGTGGAAGCTTAGTTACCTCTTGTACGTCTATAAATATCCTCCTTATCGTGAGAGGGGGGGTTGAACTCTCATTTTCCTCAACACGCTCTAGACATTTAATTTTCTCTGTCTAAGAACTCTCTCTCTTTCTCTTCCTCTCTCTTTCCCTTTCTCTATTTATCTCACTGATGTGACTTGTAAACAAGGAAAATGTCATGGATCGATCATACAAATTCAAAGTCTTCTTTTAATCAATCTTTCCAATTAGATTAACGAGAAACGCATAGCTTGCGGCGACACTTGTGTCCGAGGAGATCTATGCAACCATGTCTGCACTCGTGAATGTGTCGTGGTGGCGAAGCATGAGAAACTAATCATGAATTATAGACAAGGATTATTAGGAGGCTAGAAGTGATAGTGTTTTGCAGGAGAATTTACTAGAGACTCATCTGGTGGTAACGGCGTACCTTGAAGCGCATTCAATTATGGGTGCAAGGCTATTGTTGGTTGATATAACATGTCTTATTGCAACTCTTAAAGATGTGATTTAGCAAGTGGCTTCGGTGGCGCTCCAGCCTTTTTTCTTGAGCATGCAACAACTAGTGATGATGATGCAACCACTTAAACCAACTTTACAAACTTTATAATAGGTCCCGAGAAATTTGCCACATTGAGGACGCTGATGTAATCAAACATTAGCCATGTAAGGAGAACTTGAGATATTGGGTGCATAAAGAGCTAATCGTGGATGTCGAAGTGCACAACGTGGTATCTACGGACACCAGAAGTTTACATTGTTAACCAGAAAAAGAACTAGCCGTTATAGGACATGGAGAATTATAATAGATCTTTGTCTTCATCAGGCTTTATGTTTCTATGCAGGATAGGATTAGTGAGAGGAAGTAAGCAATCTAGGCCGCCAAGGTAATTGCTTGAGGCATGAGAGGAGACATCCTTAGACAAAAGTCCAGATGATAAAAAATGAACAATTCTACATCGACGTCAACCTTTTCCCAAGACATCCCAAAGACGAAGGCATCATGAGCGTCATCCAGTCATGTTCCCAAAAACAAAGCCTAAGTGTGTTAATGGTATACGCAATATAATGTCCATAATAGAGCCTCAGTATCTTGGCGTGAGGGACCCTCAACCAATCCATCCTCCACCTCCGTCATTGTTTCTCCAATGCTCCCTAAGGACACAATGCCGATGTGAGTCCAGGTGCTGGATGAGGATCCTCGTGATGTTGTTATCAAAGGACTAATAAAACGGATTGAAAAAATGGAGAAATTGCAAGTTGAAGACAAGCCATCCATAGATTTGGATCTGAACTTAATGTCCACGTACCCTTAACATGTAAGATATTAAATGCTCATCTGTCAAAGAACTTCTAAATGTTGTGGATAAGGATTTATGATTGCATGTTTGACCCCAAGAGCATTTCAACCGTTTCCATACATACATTCATGAATGTTATCAATACCTTTCATGAAGTACTTGCCAGGTGTTACAAGCCATTATAAAGGGGTCAACGTTAGAAGGTTTCAATGATCTCCCTTGGGGGTAGATGAACTTTTTGGAGGATCTGGAAAGAAGATTTGTAACTCAGTTTGCCGAAAACAAGAGGAAAAGGAAGCATTACTTCTAGTTATTGTCTGTGAAGCAAGGGCGAGTGAGCTCCTGAAAGATTTTATATTGAGATGAAAGGTAGA